AAGTATATTCCCCAACTCATTTTATGAGGCTAGCTAGTACACCTTTGATGCTAAACCCAAAGAAGGACATTACCAGAAAGAAAAATTACTGGTTGATCTCATTCATGACAGCCCCCCAGATCCTAAATAAAATACTAGCATATTGAGTCCAGAAATATATAAAAAAGAAAACAGAACAATGGGATAGAATAGCAAGGTCAGAAACACATCCACATATATATGACTACTTGGTTTATCACCCAGACAGCCCTGCAAGGTAGGGTGGAGAGGACCACCTGTCAATAAATAGTGCTGATTTACTTTTCAACATTGTGGGAGGGAGGGATGTGAGGACTACAGATGTATCCCTTTCTTCATAAGTGAAAAAGTTAATTTCAGGTCTGCTTAGAACTAAATTTGAAAAGCAAAACAATAAAATTTCAGAAGACAATATAAGAGACTATCTTAATGACTTTAGGGTAGGAGAAGAGCTGTTAAACAGGATACAGATACCACTAGTCATAAAGGAAAAGAATGATAAATTTAACTCCATTAAGAATTTCTTTTCAGGGCTGGCCCCATGGCCTAGTGGTTAAGTTCAGTGTGCTTCACTTTGACAGCCTGGGTTTTGTTCCCTGGTGCAGACCTACACCACTCATTGGTTGCCATGCTGTGGTGGTGACCCATGTACAAAACAGAGGAAGACTGGCACAGCTATTGGCTAAGGATGAATCCTCCTCAAGCAAAAAAAGAGGAAGATTGGCAATAGCTGTGAGCTCAGGGCAAATCTTCGTCAGCCAACAACAAAAAAAGAATTCCTTTTCATCAAAAGACATTACTAAGAGAGTGAAAAGGCAAGCCACAGAGCGGAAAAAATATTTGTAGCACATATAATCAACCAAAGACTTGTTTCCACATTATATAATCAATTAATACAATCAATAAGAAAAAGCCAGACAACCCAATATAAAAATGGGAAAACACCTAAACAATGAGATAATGAAACATACGAAGAGATGCTATTCTTCATTAATAATCAGGGAAATGCAAAATAGTGCCACAATAAGTTGGCATTGCATATCCATTATATTGGCAAAAATTAAAATGTCAGACAGTTCAAGTGTTGGTGACGATGTGGAGTGACAGGAACTTTTACGTTATATAAATTGGTACAATCATTTTGAAAAATTTTGGCATGGTCTTGTAAAGCTGAAGATAAATATTCCCTATGAACCAGGAATTCCATACCAAGGTAAAGACGCTATCAAAATCCATGTTTATGTGCTCCAGGATACACACACACGTGCACACACGTGCAGACATTCACAACAGCATAGTCTATAATAGCCCAAACAAGATAGCCTATACGTCCACCAATAGTAGAATAGATAAACAAATCATGGTATACCCATGCAATATAGTAACCTACAAAATGAAAATGAGTAAACTACAGCCGCATCCACATAAGTGAATCTTACAGACATAACGTTCATCAAAAAATTTCAAGATGTGAAAGAACTTACTCTATGATTCCATTGACGCAGAGTTCAAAAACAGGCCTAAGCTATATTGCTTAAGAATGAGCAATTAGGCAGCAAAACTGTAAAGAAAAGCAAGAAAATGAATATGCTAATAATCATGATAGTGGTTATCTGTAGGCACTTGGGGATTATAAGGGGAGAGGCACAGTGGGGCCTTTTGGGGTGTTGGTAATGTTCTACTTTTTGGCCCAGTGGGGTTCCATGCGTGTTTGGTTTATGTCTTTAAGTAGTACCCTTCTGTTTTATGAACTTTTCTGTGTGTTTGTTATATTTCCTACCACAAAAAAATAATTCTAATCTTCTCTTTTTCCCTCATACTTCTTGATTCTTCCTCTAGTTAGAAGCATCTACAGTGCCTTAGACTCAGAGTTGTTACAAGACAACAAAAAGAATAAACAATTCAGTCTTTAAAAACAAAAACACTTCCAAAGTAGTTTTTGAGAATAAAAAAAGCTTTGATGACAGTGAAACATAGCATTTCATCTTATTTCCCGCCCAGTCCTGGCCAGATTAGCTAAAAACCCTTGAATTGGGAGGAATATATAGGGAGCATAACACTGAGGAAGATTAAGGGGCCAGGGAGGGAAGGATGAGGTTTGATGGGAGTGGTGGAAACAGAGAACATCAGAGTGGGCTGAGGGCCGTTTCAGTGGACAGGGCAGGAGGCCTGAGCTAGGAGTCAGGAAAGCTGTGATTACAGCAGCCTGTGCCTACAAAAGCATCATCCAGCAAAGGACACCAGCTTTCCTCTGAACTGCTTGGTGGAGAGCCTAGGACACCTCTGTCAAAGATGGCGGGTGAAGTCTTGGACCACCTGGTACTGTGCCATCTTCCTCTTTGCATTCCTCTCCTCCCTTTTTCCCCTAGAGACTTTAGTCTGCGGGGCCCAAGAGTCTATATTTTGATAAGTACCTTGGGTAACTCTCATGCAGGCGGCCTCTGGCACTGGAGTACCAATGTCCAGAGAAACTGCCTGATAGGAAGAATCGTCAGTGGCACTTGTTAGAAATTCAAATTTCTGGGCCCCATACCAGACATGTGGAATCAGAATCCCTAGGGAAGGGGCCTGAGAATTTGTTTTTTTAACAAAGGCCCCAAGTGACTCACAGGGAAGTCTGGGAAACTCCCGTAGAGACTCCCACTTGTTATTTTCTGGTTTTATGCAATGTATTTTAAAATAAAACATTTATTTATAATAAGTAAATATATTTGCATTTTGAAAATATATGTACCTTGTGGAAAAGGACAAATTACAAACTGTAAAATATTTTTTTTCTCCAGCCCAGACTTCTCCTCTGCAGATCCATAGATCTGCTTACTTGACATTTCTCCTTGAAGTCACAAAAACATCTTAAACTCAACATGTTCAAATGTTGAAACACCATCTTCCTCCAAAACCAACTCTCTTTCAGTGTCCCCCACATCCAGCGATAGCATTTACTACCCACGCACTGGGCCCGCCAGAAATCCCATCGTCTCTGACTCCTCCCTCTCGTCAGTCCCCATTCCACTCTACCATATCTAAATCCATCACCAAGATCTCCCATTTTACTTCCCAAATTGTTCCATTTCTCCCACTTGTCTCCACTTCCTTCTTCCCACTCAATTCACTTGAACCACTACCGACACTAACCACTACCCATAGGTCCTAATTGGTCTAATGCTGACCCTGTTCACGTTCCCACACTGCAGCTGGAATAATCTTTTTAAAACACAGATCTGACTATGTCAAATCCCCTCCACAAGAAAAAGATGCTCTCAAGAAAAAGATGAAGGTTCTCAGCATGGCCAGTGAGGTCCTGCTTAATCTGGTCTCCAGCTTCATACTGTAGCACTCCCTCCCAGCATTCTATGCTCTAGCCACAATGGCCTCCTTTCAGTCCCTCAGGCTTCCAAAGTTCCCTCCTGACAAAAGTTCCCTCTGTTTCTTTTTCTCCTCTCTTATCCTCAGATCTCCATTCCAGTGTGACTTCCTCAAGGAAGCCTTCCTAACATTTCTGGCCAGATCAGTGAATGACCCTACTGTAAGCTCTTATAGCAGCTATCTCTTGCAACGTTCATTTATTTCTCTAAATAAACGCGGCTCACAAATTTGAATTAGACCTTTTAGAATTCCTTTGACTGGTTTGTTTCTTTTCTCATCTTCTCTGATGTTCTTCCAATTTCACTTCCTTAGAATCTATCCCAGAACAATTTTAGAATCAGTAGCGAATAACTTTAACATTTGGACTTAGCTTAAGCATCACCTTCATTGGCTTTCCCACATTCCCTCTGGCTGCTCATCTTATCATTTTCCAATCTCTTGAACATTTGCCTCTATCACAGCAGTTATTCACCCTATATTATATTTTTTGTTTGTTTTCTTGAAGGTCTCTCTCGCTAGTGTCAGTTGCTTTAGGGCAGCTGTTTTATTTATCTCTGTATCTTCAGCACTTAACACAAGGTCTTGTCCTCAATAAATATTTGGAATGACCCCTGTGGCCTGTAATCCAGCCGTATAGTACATATGTTGATTTCTCTGCTTGTAATGTCTTCCCTCACTGTGCCTGACAAACTCTTCCCACTTCATGTAAAGGAGGCAGTGGTATAATGTTACCTTCTCCAATATAATCTTTCTACTTTCAGTCTCCTCTTTTGAAAAACGATACCTATCTTAAAAGGTTGTTGGGAGGATTAAAAGAGTTAATGATTCACCACTTCTATCCCTCCCCTTGCCAGGCCAGATCTCTCCTCTTCTAGAGAACTACCTAGGGAATTTTGTCTCATGATTAGGGTTTTGGAATCTCTGGCACTCAGCTAGCTCTTCTCTGTTTCCCCTCTCCTGTTTTTTCCCCCTTTACATTAGACTGACGGCTTAGTTAAAACTAGATAACAAGTCACTAGCAAGTGGAAAATGTTTCTACCCTGTTCTCTTAGGAAAAGGCATCTTCCTGAGGTGAGATTTATTTGCATAACTGCATAGGCCTTTTTTTTTTTTAATACTTTGAAATGGCAAAGGATGAAAAACAAAATGTTTAAATTTCCATGTCAAGATAGGCAGAATGTTTCTTTTCATTTTCTTCTAGATTTGTAAGGTGCCTGACCCAGAGTACACAAGAAAAAAACTTTGGTTCCCTCCTCTTCATCCTTTCAAGTTTACAAAGATGTAACTAAAGATTTTAGCAGTTAGGACAAGCATCTTCACCGTGAATTATCTGGTAGCTTCCAGTATAATAAATTATTCTTACCCACTAGATACTACTACACTCAGTTTCTTTTCTTACTTTACCTGTTTGCATTGTCAAAGTTGAAATGCAGCATATTAAAGTGATTATAGTCTTTAAAAATCATGGAAACTTTTTATTATTTTAAAATGTATATGTAAATAAATAAAACAGAAAAATCCCATAAAAAATGTTTGCACAGAGGGCTAAAACATGTCACAGGGGTAAAACCTGACAAAAGTTTTTGCTGAAGTTTCTTTACTTTTCTCCAAGTTACCTTGTGTGCTTCAAGTTTCATTTGTTATTTAGACTTGTCATTCCCAGTTGACTAGGAAATTTAACGCTGTTTAGCCAATGTTTCAAATCTGAGGCAAAGAGGTCTCGGTGGTTTATTGGTGGGCCCACGTATCAGGACCTGTGAAGGAGTTTTCTTGAGGTGAGAGTTTTAAGCGAAAACTCGGCTTCTGTTGTTAACCACAGGTTTGAAATCAACATCATTTGGCATCTGAAGTGTACCACACGCCGGTGAGGTAAGCATCCAGGCATCAAATGAACCTTTTTGACGTCACGAGTGATAAAAGCCTCAAGCACTCCTGGACTCTAGGCTGAATGTCACTGGCTTGTTTGGGAATTGGGTCTCTTCTAAGCTATGTAGCATTAACTTGCTCTGCTGCCGGCTGGATGACAGCTGATCGAGGACTCTTCAGGGCGGACTCCTTTCTAGATGCACCCGTCTCCACCCTCAACCCCACTCTTCTCTCTCGCGGTCGTCTAGGAGCACCAGGACCCATTTCGGGGTCTTCTGTCTCCAGCGAGACCTACCAGTGCAGGCTTTAAAAGACAAGAAGGAGGCAGAGGAACAGCAAGAAGTAACTGCACTGGTAAGAGTCATCATAAATGGCAGGACACCTCCAAGACGAGGCGACCAGCGCCGTATTTGGCCGCGGAGCCCACAGGCACAAGCATCCTCCGACCCACCGCCCGACTCCCCCGCCCCAACTGCCCGGCCGGGTCACAGTCACGTGACGGGGGAGCGGCGCGCGCCGGCGGCGGCGCGGATTGGCTGGCGGCGGGAGCGCGGGGTTTGATGGGAAGGAGTTGGCCGGGCCCAGAGCTCTGTCAGTGGCGGCTGCTGCCTGCTCCGGAGGCGTGCTGCGCGGCGGCGGCGCAAGCTGGCAGAGGTGGACGCCAGCGCCGGGCTTTGCCCGCTTCTCAAAGGTAGAGCGCTCCAAAGGAGGGCCGTTGGGAGGGCGCGGCGGAGGGGAGGCGCACTGAGCTTTTCCCTGGGAGATACGCGCCGGTTCCCCCGCTCGCCTCTCCCGGGCGCTCGGCCCCACGCCGAGTGGCCTAAGAGCTCCGGGGCGGCGGCTGGTCAAGCCCTGCCCGGCTGCGCTACCCAACTCTCGCCGCCTGGTCCCCTTGGTTACCCAGCACCGTGGCAGGGGTGGCTCTGCAGTGCTGGGGACTCCCTTCTGCCCCGAAGGGGAGGTTGTTCCCCAGCTCTGTTCTCGGAGATGCCGGGGGTGACTGGATTGATTTGAGCATCGGCTCTTTGGCCCGCCTATGTCTAGGCGAAGGGTCACAAGGTGCTCTGCTAAGCGATCGCTTTGAGTGTTCTACCCGTCTCTTCTTTGAGTTCGTGCGGAGGCGCCGTGAGTTGGAAAGATCTGGAGGGATCGAAAACTGTCAGTGTCATGCTGCTCCGCCCAGGCGTTTGGGCGTGGATTCTATGCTGCTTAGAGAAGCCTCTCGGCAACCCTCGTCCTTGTTTGGGGGACGGTGGGTGGTCTAAGGGGTGGAGGGAAGGGCGAGGTTGCGTAGGTGTCATAAGCATGGCAGAAGGAGAAGAGCAAATCTAAACTACATCAGGAGTTTCAATTCTTTAATATTGTGTATGGGGATAGAGAGAGAGTTGGGATTGGTGAACTCACTTTTGCTGATGGTGCCCTCACAGTGCTAAGTAAAACCCATGACTCACTGAGTTTTCCATGTTCCGCCTTTCCCAGTTGGCTTCTGCTCTGTGGTCCCTTAGTGTCGACTGTGTTTTGTCCTTTCTCTGTGGCTTGGATGACACCACTGACAAAATTGACCCTGTTCAATAGCGGTTTGTGTGGATGTGAGTAAACTTGGTGTGAGGCATATGTTCGAACTGGCAGGGAATGCCAATCTCTTGTCCTCACCAGCCCCCATGGTTCCATTTTAGGAGGACCAAGTTGATTTTGAACACATTTTTTTTTAAACAAAAGTGGTGCATTTAAAATTAGAATTTTAAGTTTCTCTGTTCTCTACTGAGGTCAGCCCAATGCTGTTAATAAACTTACGTAGTGTTTATATATTATTAACTTGAAAGAGAATATAAAGAAAGAAGTTATATGGCTATCAAACAGGTATGATTTCATATAGACATCTTTCTAATCAAATAGTCATTTTTTTGGTGGTATTTAGTTCAGAATGAACATCGACTTACCATGAAGACCTTAATCATGGAAACTTCATCATCATATAATTAATCATGAAGAACTTCATCATCATATAATAAAAGTGCTTTTAGAGGTGTACTTCTTTTCAATAATTTTATTTTTGAGCAATATGTGGTGGTTTGGGGTATTTCAGAATTGCCTTTTTCATTTAGGAAATTTGAAAGTTACAGTTCCAGAACAATCACTTTTAATCTTAAATTGAATAGTACAATATGTTATAGAAGTACTGTTGATGGTGATTGAATAGTTTCTACTTAAGTTTGGAACTTAATAAACATAAAACTAAACTTCTTTGCTGTTAAAGGCCTACAAGGTTATTTTAATGGAAGAATCTGCGAAGTATTTTGCTTTATTTTTTATACTAGGGAAAATGAGAGCAATACAATTTCAGTTAAAATACAAACTGTAATTTTATTTTCCAATTTTAAAATTATGAAACAGTTCTTTTCTTTATAAGAAATTAGAAATTTGTTCCATATGAGAACTATTGTCTGTACTGCATGTGTTTTCTGGTAATAGTAATAATAATGGCCACAATTTATTACGCACTTACTATTTGTTGGAAAATGTGCCAAGGGATATGTAATTCCGTTTAATTCATACAACAATTCTGTGAAGTGTAGATATTTTCACCACTTTACAAATGCGGAAACTGAGGCTTAGAGAGTCTCATTTACCCAAGATCATGTAGCTAGTATGTAGTTGAGCCACATTTTGAACCCAGACCTTTTTTACTCCATTATTTTAATCTGACGTGAAGTGAGTTGAAAATTTAAGAATAACGTGCCCCATGATTTTAAATTCTGACACCCAAACCTGACAGTGAATAGCAGTTAATAGAAAACAGTTAAATAGTATGGTGGGCGTTGTTATTGAAAAACACATTAGATGCACCCAGCTCTTAAGGTCATGTGAGCTCCCATTGTGATATCAGAGTAGAAAGAGACTCTCTGTACATGTTCATGGAAGAGTTCTTGGGGTCAGGCCACTTAAGATCGAGCCATCTGTCCACTCAAGGGCAAACAAATTGATTTATGCTTCAGAAAGAAATGCTGGTTATTTGGTTTCCATGTTTTTTCCGTGTGTTCAAAGGAAGCAGAGATGGACTAGAAAATGGCATCAACCACAGCAGTAAAAACAACAATTTGTATTGAGAAATTAGTATGTGAGAGGCACTGTTGTAAATACTTTAGAATGCATTATGTCACTTAAGCCTTTCAACATTTAAGAGATTCCGTAACTATCCCTCCTTTGCAGATGAAGATACTGAGTAATTGAGAGATTAAGTAATTTATTTGCCCAAGGTTTCATAGAAAGTAATGGGCCACGGGAATTGGAGTTAGGATGTTTGGGTGGCAAGGAGGGGAAAAATGTTTGAAAATGGAAGAGGTATGAAAATAAAGCTATAGACAAATAGTTGATTTATTTAATTTTGTTATGCTTTTATATCTGTTGGAAAGTTCTGCCATTACCTGTGTGTTATAGTAAACCAGGTTCTTTAACAAATACCAGAATTTGAAAGGAAAATTGCTGGAACAGTAAGCGTTTACTGGTTCTTTGATTGTGATCCTGAAAGCATGGATTTAATGACTATTACCCTAATGTTGTTTTTGAGGATAAATTTAAAAGCTCAATCCTCTGCTTCAGAGATCTTAAAGGCTAAGCTGTAGTTTGTTTCATTAACACCAAAACAATCCTCCAAGCAAATAATTGATGTCAAAGTTGGAATTAATTGCAGTATTATGCATATATTTCATATTGCGCTTATTTTAAAAGTGATACGCAGTAAGCAAGTAAAGGCAGTGCTTGCAGACTTTTAGTATCAGTTCTGCCCCTAGCTGGAGCTACATGATTTTGGTAAATCATTTAGCTTCTCTTCCAGGCGGATTTAAGCATTCATATTTAAGCAAATGAAGGAATTGGGCTACATGATACACTGTACTAACACTGTCTCTTGTGTTTATAACTCACTTTCCACTTCAGTAGCTCTGTTTACCAGCTATTTGAGAATGTCAGGGGTGCTTTCATATATTTTATGTATAAATATTCCAATCTGATCTATATAAAGCAGACTTTATTTCTGATCTCGTGTTATTGGAAATAACTGGTTGCTTTTTAAAAAATCAAAACGAAAATACTGTATCTGGCTCTGCTACTTAATATCTTTGAGACCTTAGCAAATTACTTCACTTCTCTCGCCTCAGTTTCCTCATTTGAAAATGGAGGGCCAGTAGTATCTGAATGATAAAATTCATGTAAAGCATTGGTTTTAGGGGCTACTAGAGATTAAGTGCTTAGCAAGTGTTTACCTGATATTGTTATTGTCATTACTTTCAAATATGAAAAATTCTAATTTGTGATGGCTACAAACTTAACTTGGAGGCATGTAACTGTTACAACGCAAAATGTGCAGGTCAATTGTGTACAAAACAATGTGCTAGACACCATTAGGTCCAAAATAGTGGGATGATATATACCTTGAAAATACCAGGTTAAGTGGTTCATCTGAATCTGCTTTCCCCAGTTACCTTTCTTGGTGATTATTTTTAGCTTCTTAAGAAGGTTTTAAGACTATTTAATGTCTTAATTCAGAAATTTGTGCTTTTATTCAGTAAGGTTCCTGGATTTCTTATAACCGAAGTTTAGAAATTTGAATACTGAGTTAATATTGAAGGATTAATATTTAGATTGCATTTTAAATGTGGCTTATAACATTCATTATATTTATAAACTTAAGAATTTTTCAAGATGTCCCTAAAAGTTACTTTGTAAGTGTAAGTATTTCATAATTAGGCTCTTTGTTACTTCTTTAACCAAGAAAGTCCGAGATAAGTATGCCTTATACTAATTCCAACCTATAAATAGAATTGCAGAGTGAATGTACTTACTTGGTACTGGCATTATTTTGTGATTACGTTCATGGTTTTAAAAATTCTAAGAATTATGGCCTAACTTTTTTGGGTGGAAATGAAGTAGTTTTAGACATTGGCAGTATATAACTATAACGTAAAAATATGTAAGTTTGAAAGTGTATTTTCACTATTTCAACTTAAAAGAATAAAAATTTTTATAATTATTGACTGGTAAATTGATTTAGAATATAATATTGCTGATACATTTTCAAACATATAGTAATATTATATTACATTTGAAAGTCATAGAAAAACAACTAAAAGAAGGATGTACAGCCAGCTGACATGAAGGTCAACTAACTTGAGGCCCTTAGACACAATTTCAGAGAGAAAAGTTTATTTGGGTGTTGAACAGTAGTGAGTAGACCAGAAGTCTGAATATAGAGTGGCTTTGGGCTGTCTCCTCTGAGCTAATGGGCAAATCACTAAACCTCTTTTCATTTAATTTTCTTATCTGCAAAATAGTAATAATGAAGGCTATGTTGTGAAAAGTGGTAGTATTATTAACTCTAATTACCGAAAAGAAAATTAAGACTCAGAAACATTAAATGATTTGCTCTAGGTCACAGGTAGCCTTGTAACCCTTATTTTTTTATTCAAAATCCAGTTGGCTGTCTATTATTGCTTTTAATGTGATGTTGTTCTAAACATTGTAAAACACTCCTCATTCCAAATAACTAGGTTAGTTGGGAGATAGCTGAATGATAGAAATGGTTGTATTTAAACGCGTGTAGAATGAAAGCAGTATAGTAAAACTTTGCTTACAAGAACAACACAGGGGATCTACTGAAAAGAAGAGAAATTGCAAAGTGGTATGAAATGCATTTCTAAATGCCTTACCATTTAAAAGCCTTTTCAGCCTTATTTTCACTTTTTAAATGTCCTGGCTTAGAAGAAAGAATTTTTTAAAAGGTGGACTCTATCCCAAGACTGTCTGAATTAAAATTCCACTTAAGTAGAGTCTAAAGAAATTAGTATTTTATGGTATTTTTAGGCAGTATTGCAACAGCTAAATTTTATAGTGAGTTTGCTGTGTGTTTAACTTAAAATTTTCGAATACTTGCTTTATTTCTAGTTGTGAATTCCTTTGGACAATTGATGTCATTTGTTATTGTGCCCAGTTTCTACAAATAAAAGATGGGTGGATTATTTTCTCGATGGAGGGTAAGTTACCTTTCTTTCTAGCCAGTAATTAGTCTAACATAAAATTGTCACAGAAAGCTATTTGTGAAAGTCTCCCTTGTGTAGACTTGAGTAGTAGTTTGATATTATCTCTAACTTTATTTGATTTTTTAAAATTTCTTCCTTATGAATTAGTTTTTTATTTGGACCTTAATAGCTCCACTTGCTATATAGGTGTCTAATGTCTCTGTTTAACAGAATTATTTCACTTTGACTTATGAATTATTTTTATTTCTGTATTTGTGCATTCCTGTACAAATGGTAATTTTTCTTGTTTTCTTCTCATACTGCTTAAATTTCAAACTTACTTGAAAGATAGTTGAAACTAAGTATTCTATACAATACTTACGTTTTTACAGGCTATATCTTTTTGCTTAAAGCTTGTCACAAATATTTACTGAAGTCACACTAAATATACTTTTAAGCATTGTAGGTTAAACAAAAGTAAAAATGCAGTTTGATTTTATTGGTTAAACCTTTAGAGGAAGTATCTCAAATTTAGAGCTAGAAAGTATAAAATATATTGATAAATGCTCTTCTCTAATATAAGAGATGATAATATAGTTTAGGACAAACTACTTTGCTTATTTGTTGATTTCTTCTTATTTTAATAATGGAGTCTAGCAATACTTGGTGCTCAATTTAGTTTTGGGACTATTGCTGGAACTGCTTCGTTTTGGATTGACATTATATTGATCCCTCCTCTACGTTTCTGCCTTTGGATCAGATTTATCTGTTCTTCCTTTGTCTTTAGTGTTAGGTTGAACCATATGAAGTTGCCAATATTCAATAGCTTTGACTTACATAAACAGCAATTTCGTATGGTTCAACCTTATGTTAACAACTCTTGTGGGAACTATAATGAATTGATATTCATTACCCTCTTAGATTATTGCATATATAATTGGTAAATATTTTCTCAAGTTTTGTATGAGCCATTTGGCTGGTTTTTATTCTAGGTGGTATAAAAAATATCTTTGACAAACAATAATGAAGTATTCTAAGATGCTCTTTTAAAATCTGATCTTCAGAAAAGTATTTTAGGAATTCAGAAAGGAGGTAGTCTATTGATTTTGACCTCGAGAGTCCTAAGTGAACTTTTAGTAATAGCAAATGACACCATCTTTGGTCTTGAATTTTTTAGTATGTGAATTCTTTTGAATAATCATATCTAAGAAAATTTTTCTTGAAGGAAAATTTATTTCTCCTTATAAAAGTATGTTCTATTGGGGTTGAGAATGGCAAAAATTGAGCTATCAGAGTTGAAAGTACTTCTAGGAATAAAAAGAAGTTAAGTGGGAAGGTGATTATTTCTTTAATCTTATGTAGTTCTGTTTATAATTTTTATTTAAATCAATCTCATTTATAAATAAAGAAGAATACATATTGCTTGATAACATTTGGAAAAACTTAATTTTGGATTCAAATGTTCTTTTATGATTATATAAATCAAAGTGTTTCTAAGTTTGCAGTAATGAGTTTTAATGTTCTCTCTTATTTCTCTTTCTATGTCAGACAAAACCTTCAACTGTAGAAGTTCTGGAAAATATAGATAAGGTAAGGTATATTCCTTGGCTTGGGGGTATTTTAATTTATTTTAGGTGTTATGTAAATATTATTTTAATATATATTATTTTGGAGACCATATCTGGTATGGGAATTTAGAGGTGATAGACAGTAAACCTGAGAACTTTGTTACATGATCTCGAGAAAATCCAAAGTCTATCAGTGACTTAAGAAGTCTGTGTTAAGTAATAGAGCCTGTTAGAATGAAATTAGATCTACAGCGTGGTGCAAATCAATGCTGCAGATAGGGTAAAGTAGATTATAAAATAATCTGCAACAATTTTAATCAGTCTGCAAACTTCACAGTTTTTTATACTTTCTATCATTATCAAAAATGGTTATTCCTTGGGAATATTAAGAGTGCTGAATAGATTGAAACAATCTAGTATGCGTCACTGTTTCAGTTTTTTGAATTCTTCTTACAGCCAGATTTTTTTTTTAGGCTTTATACGGGGAGAATTATTACTTATTTGATTTTAAAAAATACTGCTTATTGATGCCAGTTTCATCCCTCTGATCTTTGCTAATTTGACAGGTTAAAAATAGTATCTTAATTTTGTATTTAAAACAGTGATTTGTCAGAATAGGTGTTTTCATATATTTTTAACTTCATTTTTTGTTTTCTTTTTCATATTATGTTCTGTTTTTAAAATATTAAGGGGGCTGGCTTGGTGGTACAGCAGTTAAGTTCCGCACATTCTGCTTCCATGGTCCAGGATTTGCCAGTTCGATCCTGAGTGTGGACATGGCACCGCTTGTCAAGCCATGCTGTGGCAGGCATCCCACATATAAAGTAGAGGAAGATGGGCATGGATGTTAGCTCTGGGCCAGTCTTCCTCAGCAAAAAGAGGAGGATTGGTGGCAGATGTTAGTTCAGGGCTAATCTTCCTCAAAAAAAAAAAATTAAGATATTATATTTCGTTGAATTTTAAGAGTTCTTTCTATATAACCTCTCTATCATGTTAAAAATTTTTAACATTTTAATTTCCTTATGAAATTTGAGATAATATAGAATAATTTTCTCTTAACAGGAAATTCAAGCATTGGAAGAATTTAGGGAAAAAAATCAGAGATTACAAAAATTATGGGTTGGAAGATTAATTCTCTACTCCTCAATTCTCTATCTGTTTACATGTTTAATTGTATACTTGTGGTATCTTCCCGATGAATTGACAGCAAGACTTGCCATGACACTCCCATTTTTTGCTTTCCCGTTAATGTAAGTAAATTGTTGTTTTTGTTGACCTTTCCTCTTTCTGAACAGATAGTTTTAATATATTCAGTCTCTTTTTGTTGTGAAATAGTAATGTCTCAGATTGAATAAATTTTCATTCTTTTTGGCAGTTTGAAAAATATTTCTCTAAAAAAAGTAGGACAATTGTTTTAAGCCTTTATTTGCAGCCCAACATACCTGAGGAATATGGCCCAGTGACATTAGTAATAAAGGCTCTATATGGCAGTCTTTTGTGATTCTCTGGTAGATGATCATGCTCCGTTAGGGGTGTTGGGCATGGAGTGGGCATTTCAGATTGTGGATACTGGAAAGTGAGGGACGGTTTGTAAAACAAAGAGGACAACTGCCCCAGTGATTCTGAATACATTCCATTCATCCCACTTTTCTTTCCCTTTTTTTAGTCACTGCTATAAAGCAATTGACCCTTATTTTAGAAATATTTTATAATATAGCACTTTACAGAAAGTGCATTGTGATTGAGAATTTTGAGAGACAATTGAATAAAAAATTTGGTCATTCAATCAACAAACATTTATGGGTCTCAATTGTGTAGATGTTGGATTATAATGGTGTACGGTACACAAAAATACAAAAATCTCTGACTGTAGATCTTAGACTACATACTTAAATTAAGTAATAAGTATGATGAATGTTATGAAGGAGAAGTGCCAAATACCATGGGAGCATTTAACAGGGGCCCTGACGCAGTCAGGGGTGGAGGTGGGATCAGGGAACGGCCTTTGTATTCATTTTCTATTGCTGCCACAAATTTAGTGGCTTAAATCAACACCTCTTTATTATATTGCAACTGTGTAGGTCAGAAGTTCAAATGGCTTGATTGGGTTCTCTGTTTAGGGTCTTACAGGCTACAATCAAGGTTATCAGCTGGCCTGGGGTCTTATTTGGAGTCTTTGGGAGGGTGGTGATACTTACAGGCTAACTTAGGCTGAATCTCTCTGAGTTCCTTTTCTGCCCCCCACTGGGGAGAAAGCTCTGCTTTTAAGGGTTTAACTGATTATATTAGACCTGTCGAGATAATCCAGGATAAACTCTCTATCTTCAAATCGCCTCAGTAGTACTTAATTCTATCTGCCAAGTCCCTTCACAGCAGTACCTAACTTATTGTTTACCTGTATAACTGAAGGTTAGAGATCTGGAAAAAGCAGGGCTATCTTTATAATTCTGCCCATCATGGTCTCCTTGAGGAAGTGGTAGTTGAGTTGGAGACCCAAAGGATGAGTATGTGTATCGAGGGTGGTGTGACATGGTAGGTAGTGTGTTAGGCAGAAGGAACAGCATATTTGAAGGCCCTAATAGAGGATAGAGCATGGTAGGTGTAAAGAATTGAAAGAAGGCCAAAGATTGGATTATAGAGAAAAGTCTGGATATTTAGGTAAGGGATATTTCTTATAGGCCTTATTGTCCATGATAAGGATTTTAGGTTTTAATCTAAGAGTAGTGGGAAGCCATTGAAGATTTTTAAGAAGGAATATAACAAGATCATATTGTTATTTTGAAAATACCACTGAGGCTACAGCTTGGAAAATAAATTAGGAATAAGAATGGAATTAGGAATAAGAATGGATCTGGAGCCACAAGTGGGAAGGTTATGGTTGTCTAGGGGAGAAATGATTGATGGTGATTTGCACTTGAGTGGTGGTAGCAGGGTTGAAGAGAAGCAGGTGGACTGAATGAAATGGATGGATTGAAGAGATTTAGGAGGTAGAATTGAGGTAAAACGGGAAGACTCTTGGTGATTGGTTGGATGTGGGGTGAGGAGGAAGAATTGCATCAAGGATAAAATTCAACTTTAAGGCTTGATAAATTTGGTTGGTGGTAGTGTCAGTCATCTAAACAAGGAACAACATGAGGAGTTGCAGGTTTGGTGGCCCACTGAGCCTAAAATACCTATGTTTATCCAGATTGAGCTGCCCACTGGGATGGTTAAGTATGAGTAGGAAGCTCAGAGGACAAATTTGAATGGGGGATAGAAATTTAGGATTTGGCAGCCTATAAATTCTAATCAAAGCCATCCTCTGTTCATTCAATAAATAATGAGCACCTGCAAAGTTTTAGGTATTGGGCTAGACCCTAGTGATTGAGAAAGTTGTGACAAGATCTCTGCCCTCATGGAGCTTACATTCTATTGGGGTTGGAGATAAAAAGTGAGAGACAAATAAACATAGTTAATTTAGAGAGAGATAAGTGCTATGAAGAAAATAAACAGGGTGGTGAGAGGAATAGGCTACTTTTAGGATGGTCCTGGAAGGCCTCTTTTGAGGAGGTGGTACTGGAGTTGAGAACTAATGTATGAGGAAGAAGCAGCATGGAAAGAGTTTGGATTTCTGGACAGTTATTTATATATTCAGTATGTAGTAGCACATATATCCATAGATAGATGTAGAAAAGGATTATCATCAAAGTATTGATGGTAATTCTCTCTAGGTGGTGGAATTTTAAGTAGTTATTTCTTTCCATATGCTTTTTGGTATTTGAATTTTTTTACACCAATGTTTTCTTTAAATCCTAAAAACAAAAACAAAAGTCCAGGAGTTGAGAGAAGATCTTTCCAAAAAGAGAGAACAGAAAATGCAAAGGCTGCAAAGTAGGAGAGAGCTTGACTTGAGTGTCAGAAAGATAGGTATACCTGGAATGTGTGATGGAGAGGAAGAGTGATAGGAGGTGAGAATCACGCGGGATCCACATCATGGAGATTCAAAAGGAGTTTGAATCTCATTTTGGGTGAAATGGGAAGCTTGCAAAGGTTTTATGGAAGATAAAGATGAGATGGCATGATGAGATTTAAGTTAAGATAATCGTATGTGCTGCCTTGTGGAGGCTGAGTAAGAAGACAAGAGTAGAAACAGACAAATCAGCTAGGAGGCTGTTACAGAAGTTTAATCTAAAGATGAAGACGGATGGACTGCCCAGTGGCAGTGGAGATGAATAGGTGACTTGGAAATATATCGCGACAACTTGGTGGGAGGTCACGGAAAAGGAAGCATCAGGGTGATACTTAGGTTTTTGGTTTGACATTTCGGCGAGGGGCAGGGGAGAAAGATCTTTTTCTTCGGAACTGCTATAGTAAAGTCTTTTGTTTAGTCTTTAGGGCAGGGCATATTTTGAAATTGGAACTCCTGGAGCTTATAAAATTTTAACTTTGTATGTAGAAAAAAGAGCCAAAAATTGAATGCATGCATATTACAAAATAATTGGCTGTGCCGTTTTCTTTATTTTCCTTTTCTTTTGCAATCTTTTGGAATGCTTCTTATCCCAGGTGTAGCAGTGGATTTCATAATACGGAGCCTCCCTTCCCCTTATTTCCCTTCTATTTTTTCTAAGAAAGAGGGGAGAAAAGAAATTTAGAAAGGGAATCAGTGTGAGATGTTTAGTTGATTTAAACTTCTTTTAAAAACTTTTTAAAAACCCACTTGACATCCATTTCCGTATAAAAATTGATTTTCTGATTATAAAAGATTTGTATCTAGTTGCAAAAGAATGTCTCACAGCTCTACTGTGGTAATTCTAACGGCTATCCACAAATTGTGAACTATTAGATCTGCTATTATGCCTCAGAAGACTTTTTGGCAAATAAGTAATATATTAATTGTTTTGAAAAGTAGAAAAACTTCATTTAAGAAATATTTATTTCTTCAGTTTGATCTTTCTACTATTTTGAGTGTGAAGCGTTATTACTCTTACTGTGTCCTTCTGCCTCTTCTGCATCACCTGCATCTAGTATTTCTGGGCTTGTTAAGCTTCAGAGCCATTTCTCACTTTGTCTCATTCATGTGTGTGACCTGGGTCTCAACTGCTGCGGCTTCTGTTTCAGTGAGCTCTTCACTTTTGGAAGCATAGACCGGTTATCCAACAAAGAATAGAATTGTCCTTCTGATTGATGACAATCAAAAAAGCATGAAATGAAATACAACAATGGCACAGTGGATGTTGTGGTAAATAGAATGAAGGCTTACCACGGGACATTTTCTTTTGCGTGTAACATGAGCTATTGCCCAAGCTTATCTCTGGACTTCTTTCCTTTGGAAACAAAAGGTTTGAGGTCCAGACCAGGGTTTACTTAAAGAAATGGAGGCAGAAGGAGCAGTAAAATATATGGGTTTACTCATCACTGTCTATATTGATTTATAAAGCTTGGAAATCTACCTGATAGCTGCAAAAAATGACTGCTATCTCTGCATTCCAAGTTTCCCAAATGCTTTTACTGGACAGAGAAGTCATGCATTCAGGACTGAATGTATATTATGTAACCATAACTATTCCAAAGTTATGTTTTATGGTAGAAAATCAGTATTCTATTTAAGACGCTTTGAGATTTTATTATATCTTATTTTTAGGGTGTAATATGGAGTAACTTGGTGTGATGTCAGGGTATTGTTTTTCTGCCTTTCAGATTCAATAATATCTTTATATCTCTGATCTTTTCAGCTGTTACTGAAACTGAAATTTTAATCTAAATGCTGAGCTTATTTCATAGGACTCATTAAAGCTGTGCTGCATAGTAAGGGAAGGTTTGGGTTACAGTTAAAATCTTGTATTTCTACATTATTCTGGCAGACATGCATTGCCTTCAGAGTTGGTTCATTTTCTGAGTGAACAACCATTAAGTTTTGTCTCTACCCTTAACTAACTCTGCAAGCAATCTTACAGACTTTTACTCCTGGATCCCTTATTCTTACAGATTATAACTTTCTAGAAATTCCATTCTGTATACAGTCATTTCAGAGATCAACTCACGTAAAATGTTGACTTTCCCAGAGGATTTAGCCATATTTCCCCTCTGTGTTTTTTTGTTTGGGTTTTTTCTTGCCTCTTAAATGGGATTATGAGGGAAGAATTTTAAGCAAAGGAAATGAAGAAGGTGGTCCTGTCTCTGTTTCTTTTCTTATTTTTCTACTTAAATTGAAAGCCATTTGAGGAGAGAACTTTGATCTTAGACAGTTTTTATGCCTCCTTCCCAGTCCTGC